CGTGGTCAGAGGAGGTTGATGCTGCTGGTCTAGGGACCACACTTTGAGAAGCAAGCCTCTAAATCTTATTCAAAGATGTTCATGCCCTTCAATGAGAATTTTCTGAGCTTCTCCCACATGTCCAGCACCCACGAGGCACTCCTGAGGACTCAGTATGAGGCACCCAGCTGGGTGGCCCAGGGTTTTGAGAGCAAGTGCAGAAGGCTGTGTCAGATGGCAGACAGCGTGGTGAAGGTGTGGCACAGTGGCATCATAAATGTGATAATTCTCAAGATTCTTGAAAAGCTAACTCATTCTGCCGTGGCAACCAGCAATCAGAGGTGTCAGGCGATAGATTAAAACTTGACACCTAATTTGATTGGAGAGGAACTGAAGATAACAAGTACTTTATATTTGTGAAGCACCTTATTTTTCCACGGAGCTCCAAGCATGCTGCCTACTCCCTCACCTGGGGAAGGGAGGGTGGAGGGGAGCTTTAATAACAGGCTGCAGGTTCTAAAGCCGTATTATTAAGTGAATGCTGGCCAGCTGTTCTCAATGCCCCTTCCTCCCACAACCTGAAAAGCAGCCCAAGAATAAAGGGCTAAAATTGCCCCAGATTATACATAGCAAAGACTTACTCGTGGCAGAGGTTCTGTGGTTGGAACAGACTCTCAGGGGAGGTATGGAGCTCCCTGAAAAGGAAGGTCTTACCATCCCAGCTCAGCCATTTCTGGCCATGAAACTGTGGCCAGTCACACAATGAAGGAAGGAATCAGAGTCTCTGAAAGGTCCCTCCTGGCCCCCACATTCTACAAAGTATGACATTAGACTCTCTGGGGGCCACAGGATGGGTCAGAAGTGTTTGTGCATCAGAGGGACCCTAGAGGATCCTTCCAGCCCAGAGGGAACCAAAACCCTTTGTCTCAGAGAAGCACCTTGCTTTATGAGGTGGGAGCATCCTGTCCTGTGACTATTCTTCTTCCCCCCCATTCCCTCATCCTCCCTCATCCTCCCCACCTGGACAGCTTAACCCTGCCCGCAGGCCTGCAGAAGAGGCCCAAGCCAGGCCCAGACACACTCTGTTCTGTGCTGATACTCCTGCCCTTTTACATTTCCTACACACCTTATAGGAAATCAAAGCGGTTAGTCATTCCTGCCAACTCAGCATTCCCAACCCTCCCTACCTCCTTCTCATCTCTGCTGCTGGGACTGGCTTAACCAGTCCAATCTGAACAAGAAACTGGTTGAGCTGTAAGGGCCCCACATTTAGACCAGGGGACACACCAGACATCTGATGGCTTTGGGGCCCGTATCCAACAGAGAAAATAACATTTAGAATGAGCTTGAGTGGACTGGTATTTCCCCAAACCCAGATTTTTGGTCCTTGTGTCTGCATGTTGAACTTTTACTTTAGATCTTTTTGTCATTCCAGAGCACTATATTGTTAGATCTATAAGTCAAGGAAATGGAATATGACTGGTATCATTAAGCCTTTGAGCTGGAAAAAAAGGGGAAATTAATCCAATGCAGCCTCTTGCTATAGAGATGAGAAATCCTGAGATCCAGAGAGGAAGTGACTTGTCCAAAGGCACTCCGGCCTGTGAGACAGCACAGCCAGAACTAAAATCTAGGGCTTTGCTACTGCGTTATACTTCTTTCTCATCACATGGCCCATGGTTGAAATCTGCTTCTGAGAAAGAGGTGTTCATTTCTTTTTCAGTCCTGCCAGCTCTGGTCTCAAAGCAGAACCATTAGTTCTTCAGCAGAAAGGGGTCAGGCCCACTTTCCTCTCCTTTTGTGGACTGTTGGCTAATTCTCATTCTGTGATCTTTGTCATTGGTGACAATGTGCAACACAGAGCAAAAAATAGCAGATTTGTTCCCCACATTCCAAGCTAAGCTTGAAGTGCTGGCAGTTTAAACGAACTACACAAATAAATCTTGTTTTGACTCATAGTCAAGGGGGTGGATAAATATGGAAACCCCCAAGATATAATTTTACAGTCATTTTTTTCTTAGCATAACTGCAAGCTTTAATGTGCTGAGAAATTTTTGTTCTGGCTCCAGAGAGATAGCAGCACCCTCCCAGTTAAGTGCTTTTCTTGCCTCCCAGCAAATAGATGTACACACACACACACACACACACACACACACACACACACTCTACAACCAACCAAACCCAACAGCTGCACATTCGGAGCTAAATGTCAGTCCGCTGCTTCAAATTGACAGCCTTGTTATTTAAAATCAGAGATGCATAATCTTTTGAATTCCAACTAGTCTGTCTTCCAACAAGCTCAAGTTCACAGAAAGGCAACTAAAGTGATTGGAGGTGTAGAGAGGCTTCTGTATCTAAGTCAGAAGAGGGAAACCAGCTCTAGAGGCCTATTTCACAGCTCAGAGCAGAGAGGAGCGATTGGGGCGGGCCCCACAGGACAGCAGAGCCAGGTCTCCTACAGAGATTGTGTGCACGGCTAAGGGGCTTCAGTTCCTTCTGTCTGACCTGGCATGCCTATGGGACTTTACCAACATCTGTAGAAACATCAGCAGAGGTTGGGGGACCATAGATTTGTTCTCCAGAAGAGGTGAGCTTTGGACTTCATCAGGTGGATAATTATGAGCATCTTTGTGGCAAGCGATATATAGGCTGAAAACTTAATTATGTGTACAAAAAGGGTGGAGTTTAGGCAGAGGTTAAAGTGAGAGAGGACCATGAGACACCCACCCCAGCCCCAGCCCCTCCTCGTGGGTGGCCCTGTGTCAGAGACTGACTTGGGGCTGGAGTGACGTCCACTGGCTGCCCACGGTAGCACACTCTCCAGTGTTATGTGTGGTCTCACTTATTTTTGCCACATCTTTGGAGAGAAACCAAATTCTCCTTTATCAGTGGCAGGCCAGGGCCCCTGAGGGGGAGTGAGTTGTGCAGAATGTCTGTGTAACAGGGACAATGCAAAGAGCAGAAGGCACGGCTCCAGATGGGGAACTTCTGCCCCTTCTAAGCTCTTCTGTGTTTATATCCAGGAATTTCTTTTAAAAAGAAGACTGTCCCTTCTTTTCCCAAGGGGCACACTGCTGTGTGTGGTGCACAGGGCTCAGATGTCAGGCTTAGGACTGTTTCCTGCCTCATCAGATCCCCTCCTTCAGTACCCAGCATGCCCTTTAAAAGGGAGGAAACTGAGGCCACCATTCATACCAGATTGGGTAGGACTCCTGCCCTGGGATTTCAAGTCTGATGCTCATATTTTCAGAGTTTCCATGACAAGAAATCCCACAAGCCTTAGTCATTCCTCACACATAACTCTACAAATATCTCTCCTGTGCTCCAAGCAGCAAGCCCTTTGGCCCATCTCCTGCCTTCCTCCTCTTTTCTTCCTTTTCTGTATAAAACTCTTTGCCCAGGTTTCTGCGGCACAGCACAGTCAGAGAATGGGGGCATTCCCATTAGCGACACAGCATTCTTTATATGCCATAAGTGGGGTTTTCACTTGCAAATTATTAAATGCAATTCACTTAACACATCAACTACAGTGCACATAATTGAATCTATTTTGATGGGTCAGACGACAATGTAAGATCTTGTGCCTTTGAGTCACCATTACCAACATTATTTACCATCTTACCATGGATATGTGGAACACTGCTTTTAGAGAGTTCTAGTTAATGAGACACTAAATAGCAGAGAGTTTGTTGGAAATCAGAATTTAGAGGAAAATATTAGAGAATTGTGGGCCCATATACTAAAGGGCCCTCATAACTCAGTGACTTTGATGTTGAATGTTCTCTTGGACTCTCTGAGCCTCAAAATTCTCATTGAATAAATTTTTTCCTGACTGAACAGCAATAAAATTGAATTTATAGTTTAAGGAATCATTGAGGCTTAATTTCAAATGTAATTGCATTTAAACTTAAAATAGGTGTACCTATTGGATGGGCTTTGGACATTTATTTGGAATGGCAATGTAAAATAGCTGAATTATTGGCGAAACTATAACTGTTAGCTTCTTCTCCCACAGCCCCCTCTCTTTAGTACATTTAGCTACAATGAATAACTATTCTCTACCAAATTATGATCAGAAGCCCCTAATTAAATATCTCACAAGTAAAAATAACAACCTGCTTAAATGTGAACATTACCCTATGTCCTTACTAAATAGCTGTGTGGCCTGGGCCCTTTGCCCTCAGGAGAGGGACGGACGGTGCACCCATTTCACAGGGAGGATGCCGAGGCACAGGAACTCTGGGTGCACAGGCCCCTGCTGGTCTGCCGCAGCCACAAGAGGAGTAAATAGGGTTGACCCCTTGAATAATCCTGTCACTTCTGGCCCAAGAGGTGCAGTTGCTATGGCCACACAGTTCTTCCCACGCAGGGCTTCCTTCAGACCCAGAGTACCCAGTGACAAGGCTCTGCAGACCCACGTAGTGACCTCCATGAGGCACACAATAGTCATTTTCCCGGCACCGTGGACCCAATAGCATGAATCAGATTTGGACCCAACCCTCAGAGAGCTTACGTGCCCAATATGAAATGCCTGGAGATGCCACTTCTAACCCAGCAACCCCTAGAACAGCCCCAAATGACATTGCATTAATTCCTTTGGTTCATTCTTGTTAAGACTAAGTCTGGTCATGTAGGAATGGCCTCAGCGGGGTGTGAGCCCTGGAGAAGGACACATAGTTCAAATGTGCCCTCATCCTGATACCCACTCCCAGCACATCCCGGGGGTCTGCGTGTTCTGTCCAGCATCCAAGGAGAGTGGCGAGGGGGGAGGTCACTGCACTGACAGGGACTGGGGGTACCCAGAGGCACCCAGAGGTGGGCCTCGGGCACCTGGCAGAAGCCTTGTAAGCAGAGGCTGCCACAGAAGGTGGGTCTCAACTGTCAGGATGCCTCTGCTGTCACCTGGCCTATTGCAGCAGGAGGGCATTCGCAGCCGGATGTGTCTTTCCATCCAGCATTCCAAGCCTGCCCCCTGGTTCTCCCTGTGGATGCTTCTCTGAGTGGGGATGTCTGTTCCGCAGGAAGCTGTGGGGGACCGTATTCCTGTACTTCTGCTGGGCAATAAAATTGACAACGAGAAAGAGCGGGAAGTTCCCCGGGGCCTTGGAGAACAGCTGGCCAAGGTAAGAGCAGGCATTCCCATCTCTATGGACAGGGTGGCACCCAAGGCAGTTGGGCATGTGCCCCAGAGCCTTGGGGGGAACCTTCCCTGGAAGCCCGCTGGGAAGGAAGCGAGTGGGCAAGATAGGCGTCCAGCTCCTGTGCATGTGGAACTTTCCATGGGAGCCTCAGATTGTAAGTGGGAGTTGGCCAGGGATGACTAAGGTGTGGGGAATTTTCCCAAATTCTTTCCCTCAGAAGTCAGAATTAGAAATTCTTAGATAGTGAGAAGTTGGTTATTTTAGTCCCTATCTGATGCTCGAATCCCATCATCTGTGTTTCCACTTGACCGCCTCCCGGGATGGAACACTCACTCACGGCAAGGCTGGTCCTTCTTTGGATAGTTGTTTCCACTTGACCGCCTCCCGGGATGGAACACTCACAGCAAGGCTGGTCCTTCTTTGGACAGCTCTGTGGAGAGTGCATCCTGTCTGTCAGATTGAGCCTCAAAGCTGTGAACTCGAGACAAACGCAGGGCACACACTGGATGGCCTGCCGTCAAACAAGCAGCGGCCCGCTTGCCCAGGCCCAGAACCAACAAGGCTGGACGGAAATCAGGCAGCAAAACACGCCGTGCTCTCCCTGGGCTGCTCCAGCCCTCAGCGTAGTTTTCAGGGCACCGTGTGTCCGGAAAGATGGGGGTGCTGTTCGGCCAAGGATTCATCATTTTAGTGTGCTCAAGCTAAACAGAGGCTCGTGGCTCAGAGGCTGGGAAAACGGGCACAGATGGTAAGATCCAAGGAAAAAGAAGGAAGAAGGGCCTGTTAGGTGTTCCTATGGAGGGTCACCAAGCAGCTACATCCACAAGCCCTCATCCTCAATTCCAAAATCCAAAAAGCTTTGAAAACAAAGAGCGGTTTTGACTTCATCTGGCAGAAGAATCTGACCAGAACTGACATGCAGCTATTTATGGTCTCTGTGTGCCACACTCTGAATGAATATTCAAATGTTTCACTGAAGAAATATTAATATGCTTGGTTACAGGATGCTGTCCAGACCCACTGAGGGTACTATTTGATATCGTGTATACATGCATTATCTTTCTGAAACTCAAAATTTCTAGATTCTAAAATACAACTGGATCCAAGGATTTTGATTAAGGAACTGCAAGACCTATATTTTTATCATTCCATTTTCTTTTTCTTTCTTTTCTTTTTTTTCTTTCTTTCTATTTTTTTGTCAGTGAAACAAAACCAGGCTCAGAGAAATTAAGTGATTTATTCAAAGTATCACACAGGTTCTCAGTGTTGGGGTCTGTACTTGAGGCTGGAAGACAAACTGTGTCTTCCAATTTCAGGCCCTGTGCACATCCCCCACCTCCCCATGAAACCTTTGTTCTTCACAGACTGGCCAGGAGTCAGGGTCTGACTGAGGCGGGAGGGGCAGGGGTGAAGAGGGTGGAGGACAGAGCTGGGTCCGTGGGGTGTGCAGCAGGAAAGCTGAATTGGAAACAAGCATTTGCAGAGCCTCTTGATCTGCAGCCACAAAAGAAGTGTCCTCACTCAACTGCCTGTATCCCCACAGGACATCAGCCTCCAGGGCTCAGTGCCATTAGCACTGTCATGAGGAAGCAGGACAGCTATAAATGGGAGTGATAAATAGAAAATGATGAGCCTTGGCCAAGGCCCCACTGTGCTGTGTGTGCAGCCCAGCCTCTGCCTGGTGAAGGGATGGACAGCTGTCCATGCACCAGGGCTGACAGCCACCTGGAGTGCTAATTAACTGTGTGAAGGAGGATTCCTATGGGAGCCCTCAGTGACATCTGCCCCTAGGCCATGGCATGCCTGTGTCCTGGGAAAAGTATGCTGCTGGGAGCCCTGCCATTAACTAAAGACAGGGCTGGAGCAGGCAGGCCACTTATACCTTCTCTAGCCTCAGTCTTCCTGCCCATGAAGTGGGAAGAATGTTGCCCATCCTGGCCTCTGAGTCTTTGCCTGTCTGCATCACAGGCTGGTGTGAAAAGGAAATGAGTATACGCTTTACCAGAGAGTAATTAGAGGGAGTGTGAAGCACTAAGGCAGCTTATGGTTTTGTTGCTTCACAGTTGTTACAACTCACCTGGGAAATGGTTACAGAACTTCCCTGAGAAGACAGAAATCAACCTCTTAGAGAATGGCGAGGGGTGGAGGAATTGAAGGGGACTTGGAGAGGAAGCAGGGGTGTAGGTAGGTGCAGACAGGTGCTATCCCCTACCCCACAGTTCCCTCCAGCTCCCCTCCTTTTATCCCCTCTGTTTTATGATTCTAGGAGAACAATCTGATCTTCTATGAATGCAGTGCCTATTCTGGTCACAACACCAAAGAGTCCCTGCTCCATTTGGCCAGGTAGAGGACAGCTCCGCGGATGGGATGGGATGGGATGGGATGATGTGACTGCTTTGCTGGTCTGACAGGGACCACTGCATTCACCACCACGCCCCCACCTGGGACCTCACTGCATTCACCAACCCCACCTCCTATCCCAGACCTCACTGCACTCCCCATCACCCCACTCCCCACCTGCAGCCTCATCGCACTCACCACCACTCCCACACACCCCTACTCTCAACCTCACTGCATTCATCACCCCCCACACCCCTCACCCCCAATCTCACTGCATTCACCACCACCCCACCTCCCACCCCCAAGCTCACTGCATTCACCATCATC